GCAAATCTATTCACTTCATGACTTCATGGCTCTTGATTTATATACTTTATGTGAAGGAACTGGACTATTGTGAAAAAACCAGTTTTTTCATTAATGATCTGAAAAGAGTCAGAGGTCACTCTTCAACATCACCAAACAAGAAGAAATGTGGAGGTACTTGTAGCACAGCTGGAGGTCAAAGTCCTGTCATTGCTAAATAACTGGAACTTGAGCAAGGTGGGTGGTGAGACTTGGGTTTCAGTCTCCTCAAGGGCCCCACATGGAAAACAAATTCTTGGAGCTGGGAGGAATCCAGAACACTTTGAATTCCTGCCACACTCACAATCCCTTTTGGAACAAAATGGCCAGAACCAGCCCATGATACTCAAGTGCCAAATTCAAAACTTAGCCCATAAGCAGGGATCAACAGGCATCCATCCTGTGCAAGAGGGCAGTGGTGGTTCAGTGGTAAAACTCCTTCCATACAGGAGACCTAGGTTCGATTCCCAGCCAATACACCTCAAGTGCAGTCACCACCCATCTGCCAGTGGAGGCTTGCATGTTGCTGTGATGCTGAACAGCTTTTAGTGGTATGAGTCAGAACTGACTCAATGGCAGCGGATTTGGTTTGGTTTTCCCAGACTAAGCTCATGGCAGCAAACAACAATGCAAATGAGGCAGCTGTCACTATTGGGCCATGAAGAAGGAACCAATCAAGTGCTCTGTAGGAAGTCTGAGGGTGGGACTTAAAGAGCATCATCTGACATAGTAAGATATAGAAGCTGTGCGAGGCTTACAAGGGAGAAGAGACTGTGAAGGAGAATCTAAGGGAGAAAGGAAATCAGATCTTCTAGAGAATGCGGACTCTCTCCCAACCTCTCCTCTTTCCTGACTGTAGTGCCTCTTCTCAGGCCTTCAGAGGCACCTGTGCTGCTCTCTTGCCACCTTACAGTAGTCTCTCTCCTGTATTACTGGTGGGTTACAGTGCAGGCCCTGTCACGTTATCTGGGTACCACCCAAAACACTCAAACACAGCCTTCCACATCCAAGTTTGGTCTGTCTACCCTAACCCCTAAGGTTACTAAATTGGCAAAGAAATATATGAAATCGGCATTCTTGAGTACTTCTTCACTCTGGGCGAGGAAAGGGAGGCTATTTCCATGGCTGAAGTGTTCCAACCAATTCAGAGAAAAATACCACATGAAGTCAAAATATTACAGTCCTGGCCAAGCAAGGGTTTTCCTTTATTATCATGCTGACATGCAAGATTTTTTACAGCCTTCTTTTCTCCTAGTGTCAGTAGTAGTCCTGATCTCTCCAGCTGGGGGATGTCAGATCAGTAGAGGTAGGGGAAGGATTTCATCTGGGGGAGGTAGTCGAAAGAAGAGAGTCCCTGGAAGGATATAAACTGTAGTGCGAAGGAAGAGTAAAATATCCAGTCTAAGAGAAGGACAAAAAGCAGCTTCGTTGCAGGAAAAACAAAAAAAAAAACCCTGCAAACCCTTATTGAAAGTAGATTTGGAAAGTCATTTTTAAATGCGCCTTGCTTTAGGGAAAGAAGCCATCTACTAAAGAATGCATAGTGTGTAGTTTCATTTATATGAAGTTCAAAAACAGGCAAAATTAATCTTTGGGTATAGAAGTCAGAATAGTGCAGTGTGGGGGATGGTTACAGGGAGTGGATTTTAGCTCTTAGGGAACACAAGGGGTGTCTTAGTTATCCAGTACTGGTATAACAGAAATACCACAAGGGGGTGGCTTTAATGAGCAGAAAATGTTCATTAAATAATTTTCTCTCACATTAGAAGGCTAGAAGTCCGAATTCAGGGCGCCAGCTCTAGGGGAGGGCTTTGTCTCTCTGTTGGCTCTGGGGGAAGGTCCTTGTCTCTTTTCAGCTTCCGTTCCTTGGTTCCTTGGAGATCTTCATGTGGCGTGGCATCTGTTTTCCCTCATCTGTGTTTGCTTGCTTCTGTGCCTGATCTGATCTTTTTATATCTCGAAAGTGATTGATTTAAGACATACCCTACATTGACATGGCCTCATTAACATAACAAAGAAAACCCTATTCCCAAATGGGATTACATCCACAGGTTTAGGGGTTAGGATTTACAACACATATTTTGGGGCAGGGGGTGGGAGGATGGAAATGTTCTGTGTCTTGATATGAGTTATCGTTACACAGGTGCATTCATGTGTAAAATCTCCTTGAGCTTTATACTAAGACTTGTGCTTTTTTTCTATACATAATTTATTACTCAATACAAACATTTTAAATTCTTTTTTGCCACACTCATGAATGTGGCAACAGGATAAAGGGCACCTGGGATGTTCAAGAGGACGGAGATGCTATTACTCATCAGACTGAACTGTAGAGCATAAAATGAGCAGTTGCAGCCTGACCCAGTGGGAGGACCACAGACTTTAGCAGCAGCAGACCTGGTCTAAACCCAGCCTACAGGATTACTGTGGGTCTCTGAGCAAACTTTAAATCTCTCTTAGGCTCAGTTTCCTTCTCTCTAAACGGTGCATAATAATATTTACCTTTAAGTGTTACATAGGTGATTCAATGAAATTACGTATGTAGGTGTCTTGCCAAACACCTGAAACATAGCTTAAAAATAGTATTTATAATTAATGGGTAGGAGATAAACGTCCACACAGACTGATGCTGAAGAATTCCAGTCTTAAAATCAGTTCTCTATCCTAAAATATTCCTGAGAATAAAGGTGTGAATCTAAATAACTGTTTAATAATAAAACATTCCCTCACTTATTTCTAAGTAGATATTGTTAAAATACGTTAAACTATGAAAATATTTTATTATAAAAAATTATAATTCTGTGCTGTGAGATCTTGGGGAAGTTACTAATATCTCTGAGTATGTTTCTTTATAAAATGGGACTAGTACTACTATTTCATTAGGTTCATTACTATACTTTTAGATTCAATTTATTAAAATATGTAATTTGCCTCACACTGTGCCTGGCACACTGTCAATTTTGGTTAAATGATTCAATTCAGCAAATTTTTATTTAATGCTTCGTATAAGCCAGGCATCATTATAGTTACTAAGGATTAAAAACAATAATAAGAAACAGTCTCTTGCCTTCAGGAAGCTTCCAATCTAGTGGGAAAGACAGACGTGTACAGTTATAAAACAGTGTGATAAATGTTACATTCATGGAAGAATAGAATACTGGGGAAGCATAAAGGAGATATTCTACAATAGTTGGTTAAAATTCAGATGTAATTGGTCTCACCGAATTGTTGCTGTTGTTGGGTGCCATTGAGTCAATTCCAGCTCATGGTGACCCCATGTGTGCAGAGTAGAGCTGCCCCATAGAGTTTTCTTGCCTGTAATCTTTATAGAAAAAGACTGCCAGATCTTTCTCCCATGTAGCTTCTGGGTGGGTTTGAACCACCAAACTTTCAGTTAGCAGCTGACTGTACACATGAAAAATGTTGAATTGTCAGAGTTGTGTTATCTATATTCTTGCAACAGTAAAAATAATCAAGTAACACGGATATTTTCAGGGATCACAGAGTGTTATTAAAATAAAATTAAAATCAAAAAAGAAAAAAAATTCAGCATGCATGGGATAGTGGGCATATTTGAATCAAAAAGGTATTAGTCATAAAACCTGTTGCTGTCGAGTCCATTCCAATTCATAGTGACCCTATAGGACAGAGTAGAACTATCCCATAGCGTTTCCAAGGAGCAGCTGGTGGATTTGCACTGCCGACCTTTTGGTTAGCAGCCAGGCGTTTAACCACTGCACCATCAGGTCTCCATTACCACTCTAGAAAACGACAATTTAAGGCTGCCAAGTGGTTAAGAGGGTCAATAGCCAAAGGATTATTTTTACTTCAGAATCATTAACTTATCTGTAACCAAGAGTATTCTGATACAGAAGCACCTTCACATATCAGAAGGGAAATAAAGTGGAATTCTCAGTAGCAAGAACTCTAAATCTGTTGACTCCTATCCACCTCAAATACAGTATCTCTGTTTGGCAGCATGAGGAGGGACAGTTGTTCCAGGGCAGTATCGACTCATGCCCACTTTGGGAATCTGATGAAAACTATGAGCACTTTCCAAGGAGAGACTGGACTTGTAAATACACAAACAAAATAGGTGTAGTAATCTGAAGGAGGTTATTGTTCTTCTGAAGGTCAAATTAAGACCCTCTGTTTATAAGAAGGAGGCCTTGATGGCGTAGTGGTTAAGACCTCGGCTGTTAACTAAAAGGTCAGTAGTTCGAATCCACCAGCCGCTCCTTGAAAACCCTATGGGGAAGTTCTACTCTGTCCTATAGGGTCGCTAGCAGTTGGAATCAACTTAGCGGCAACGAGTTATTATTAGAAGACTCGTATTGCTGCACCTTCTTTCCTCTCTGAAAAACCAAGAAATATTGGTAACTTAATCAATTATATTGCCGTTTCAACCCTGATGATCCTTTGATCACTACTGGGTAGTGACCCTGAGTGTGTGATCCTTTTCCACACGCCATCCTACCCGGCATTTCCCAGTATATTTAGGTGTGAGGCTGCTAAGATGAAAAGCTCCAAGAAAACCCAACTATAAACAATTTATACCCTGCACCAATACTTACCAAACTGTCTTGAGATTGACAGTTCAAATATTACTAACCATGGCTATTTGTTGTTGTTCGGTGCCATAGAACGGATTTCAACTCCTAGAGAACCGATGTGATAGAATACAACTGTCCCATGGGGTTTTCTAGGCTATAATCTTTACAGGAGCACAGCACCAGGTCTTTCTCCTGTAGAGCCATTGAGTGGGTTCGAACCACCAACCTTTTGGTTAGCAGCCAGGTGCTTAACCGTTGTGCCACCAGGGATCTTTTTACTACCACTGATTAAATGAACATTACTATTTTTAGTTCCTGAAGAGCATTTGGCTAACAAGAACCATTTGCCCCTTCCTATTGCTGAGGTTCTAGTCTTCTCCCATGACCCTGAGGGCATTTGACGGGCTGTTTTGTTTTATGTCTTCTCAGAAAGTTCCTAAAGATACAGTGCCTGGAGAGTGGAATCTGGGAGCAAGGCAGCTGCATTCCAGTGGTGTGTGAGCCCCCTTCTCCCATCTTTGAAGGCATGTATGAGTGTACCAATGGCTTTGAGCTGGACAGCCAGTGTGTACTCAACTGTAACCAGGAAAGTGAAAGGGTAAGGATGACTTCTTGAACTTTGTTTTGGATCATGCTTTAATCTCAATGGCCAATCCAAGAATGTTGAGCAGAAATGCTCTGAAAGATTCCCAACAGGCAGGGCCTTACTAAGTTGAGATTCTAACCAGGGAGTTGATATCATTTGGTGGGGAATTCAAAAGACAACACTTTTTGGAATGTTCTCTCCGAAGTTCAGACCTGCCTCAGAGATAAGAACTTGATGGTTGGGTACCTGGGCACATTCCAAAAAATTCTGGGATTCTGGTTTGGCAAAGTGACCTCCTCCCATGCATGGCCACTGACCTAACTTGGCTAGGATTGCTGGTATTATATTTTTTTAATAGAACAAAGTCCTGAACAGAAACATGAATTCCTCAGTAAAGTTGAAAGTGGTGTCTAACTATTACCCTGCCTGGGATTTTGGCTCAAGAGGTCTCAAATGAAAACCACAGCCTTATCGTGGCTGTATGATTAAAATCAGTTTTATTTTAAATCTTTTCAAGCACCGCACACATACATGAGACAGGAAGTGAAGCAGACTTCCTAGGCAAAGATCAATGACCTTAAGTGTTCTCCTGGCACACGCCTTTATTTCAGTGTCCAGCATTCCAAGGTGAGCATTGAGCACTGCAGGACAGATGTGAAAGGAATGCACCAAGAAATGAGATCCCAGAGAAACCAAACACATCTGTTTGCACTAATGGGTTAAGGAATCAAGGAGTTGGCCAGATGAAGGGAGGGTTATGTATAATTCTGAAATCTTACTTTCTTGGGTTTTGTGAGGTAAGTGCTATTCTTTTTGTTCTAGGTATAGAATATTTTTTGATTACTGAGGGTGTGAAGCCAAGAGTTAGGCAGATCAGCATGCATCTAAAGAAAGGGAGTAGAAACGTTGGTGAGAGCAAAGGCAAGTATGCCCCTGGAGGTGTCCATTTAACCAGAAAGGCAAAAGACACCTTCAGGAAAATTATGAATTAATTTCACCAGATGAAACCCATCTTGCAAAAAATCTGACATTTGCCACAAGCAGCATTGTGTGATAGTACAGATGAATCAATGCAAAACCACACCATCTGGGAAAAAATTCCAAAAATATCTCAGAATGCATGGGCTACAGTTGATAGCTTATCATATCTTTATATAAAAGGAGAATACATTATTGTAACAAAAAAATTGTTCATGATTCCCTCACAGCAAAAGAGCAGGGAATTGTCTTTTTTTTTTTTTTTTTTGCCTATAACAATATGGTTTATTGTTTAAATAGAGTCATTTTAGTGCAGATTGTAGAAGTTGGAGAACACTACCACCTAACTAGATTACTTTCTTCCCACTCTAAACGAAATTTGTAAAATAATAATGGAGATGTTCTTTACCTTTGACGTTCTAGCTTCCCATCCTCTGCACTAAGGAGGGACTGTGGACCAAGGAGTTTAAGTTGTGTGAGAACCTACAAGGGGAATGCCCACCACCTCCCTCAGAACTGAATTTTGTGGAGTACAAGTGTGAACAGGGATATGGGATCGGTAAGGATGGGAGGGGATGGTGAATTCTGCTTCCAAGAAATCCTTCTACAGTATTAGGCCTGGCTGAAACTTGAATCAGATCCACTCTTCTCCCTAGAGATAGATGGAAATGCAAGTAGACTCTTAGCTGCTTCAATAAAAATGAAATTTATGGCAAATTTGTTCTTGTTGCTCTTCCACATGTGTATAAAGTCGGTCCAGCTGCTGAGCCATTTGTATTGTGTTTGGTCACGTTAAAAAGGAAGCCCTGGTGGCACTCAGCTGCTAACCAAAAGGTCAGCAGTTCAAACCCACCAGCCGCTCTGTGGTAGAAAGACGTGGCAGTCTGCTTCTGTAAAGATTTACAGCCCTGGAAACCTTATGGGGCAGTTCTACCCTGTCCTGTAGGGTTGCTATGAGTCAGAATCGACTCAACGGCAATGGGTCTGGTCTCTGGTCACATTACCCGCTCCACTGTGGGGCTAAGAGGTGATAGATTTGTGGCAGGATCTGTAGTTCCATGAGGAAAGGTGGGGATATGCAGCCACACACCATGCAAGTGCTGGCCTCCTCCAGGCTCTCTTCGCTTGTTACTGGAGCAGAGCGTTCCTGGAAGGGACGATTTGATATTGCACTTGCTTGCATTCCTCTTCAGCCATTCTTTCTCTGCAGGGGACTAGGCTCCAGAGCTTGTGGGCAACTTAGTACTCAAGTAATTGCAATTAAAGGTCATTGTGGCCAGATCTGATTTATAGTGATGTTGACTCAACTTTGCCCTGGCTGGGCCTTAGCATCACAGAAAAGAGACACAGTTTGTGGGAAACCTCATGAGATTACCCATCACTTCTGAACTGCACAGGCAAGGAGTGATCATTATACGTCATTCTAGCCTGTGCAATGCCAGTGGGTATAATTTGAGTTAAGCAGAAACCTTGTTAGTTTCTGAGATGGTTCTTTACCATCTTCAAGTTATTCCTTTGCACTGTGACATCTTGTGGTCAGGCATGGAGTATCGGGTGCTCAGACCCTGCCTCTTGAGTAGTGTTTCATGAACAAACTCTCATCTTCCAAGCCTCTAATTTCGGCATTAAAATATCGTGCACTCACATATCTAGAGTCCTTAAGAATGATGTAGCTCTTTTGATTATCATAAAAGTTACTGAAAAACACAGAAACACAGATAGTAGGAGTTGAAAGGAAACTTGGTGATCAGCATAGCTAGAGGAAATAGAGGCCTTGAGATTTGTCCTCTTGGAATAGAATGTTAGAAGATATTTGGACCCCACATACAAGGGAACAGAGCAATATTTTCCCTTGAGAGGCCAACACATGACCAAAGGAAAGGCTCTGCTTCTGATGTCCCATTGCTTCCTCTTTTAATCTCATTGGTTTCTTGGCTGCCAATGTAATGATCTTCAGTGTAGCAACAGCCTTTGTAAATGTACCTTCATAATTTCTGGGCTACTTTTTTCCCTGGCTCGTAAAGTTCTTAGGTACTAGTTGCTACAATTACAAGCTTCTAGGAGATCCTATAAGCAGGGTTGATACTAAACGTGTTTAACAGGCATCAACCCATCAGGATAGACTTTATCTGGCCAGAGTGCTGGTAGGACTGCCAGACTGGGAGCTAATCTTTTAATTACTGGATCATGCAGAGATTTAGGGATCCTAAAGAATCAGAGCCCTGGTGGCGCAGTGGTTAAGTATTAAGCTGCTAACCAAAAGGTCGGCTGTTCAAATCCTCCAGCCATTCCTTGGCAACCCTATGGGGCAGTTCTACTGCATCCTATAGGGTTGCTATGAGTAGGAATCGACCTGACGGCAACAGGTTTGGTTTGGTTTTAAAGGAGGAGCTATAATGAACCAGGCAGAGAAGGAGGCACTTGGAGCAAGGAGACAGAGCTTGGGACAGTGGAAACATCCCTATGGGTACACAGTAGATGAATATCAGCCCTGCCAATAATCATCATCATAATGTGATGACCTATAATGTGGATAGTAATTGCCCTTGAAAAATCAAAGCTATCGATTCCAGGATGGAAAAGACTGAGATTGGAGTATGTTTAAGTCTCTACCATATATTTGTGATTCTGCAGGTGCAGTGTGCTCCCCGTCGTGTGTAATCCCCCCTAGTGATCCCGTATTGCTGCCGGAGAACATCACTGCCGACACTCTGGAGCACTGGATGGAACCTGTCAAAGTCCAGGTGAGGAAAGGGATACTTCTGTGTGCGAAAGATGTGAGGCTGCTCAGCACTTCTCACCTGACAGGATCTCCCCTGCAGTAATTTCAGAGGTTTCCAAAGCATTCTCAAAGCAAACAACCACGTGGATCATTCCTAGAGGGGAAGATCGAAAATCAAGAAATAAGAGGAAACCTTGAAGAAAAAGTAGCCCAAATCTAAAGGAAAATTCAAAAGATAAGATGGAATGAAGGTTCCAAGACATAACACACGATAATAGAGGAGGAAAATGAATACTAATGAAAAACAGGGCAGGAAATGTTAAAGTAAGCCAAAGAGATGTATAAAGATGAAAGAAGGATGGAAATGGAAAGATGGATTGGAAAGGAGGAAAATAAAACTGGAAACAGGGAAAGAGTAAAAAGGAACTGAGTAAGAAAAGAAGTGCCTGCCCTGTCTCCATCTCCCACCCTTTCTGTACCCTGACACCCTTCCCCTGAACCCTCTCCTATTCAAGATCAGTCATCAGCAACATCACTACATTGACAACCTCTTCTCTGGGCTTTCTGTTTGCCCTCTTTTCCATGGAAATCTGCCTCTCCCCGAAGGACTCTGCCTCCCCACAAGGCTCACTGGTGCTGTTTGCTCTCTTACACCCCTCCTGCCACTGAGCCTGGCCCTTCTCCCTCCTCATTGCCTCTTCTAAACCATCCTCCCTAAACTCAGCCACATTTGAATCTAATGCCAACAGAATAAACTACTCACCACACTCATTGCTGCCGTCATTTTCTGACCCTTAGGCCAACTCCTCCCTCCCCCCTGTTATTTCTTCAACACTTTATCTCCAGGGTCATGGCCACTTTTTTTTCATATTGTTTTATGACATTGGTTAACAACCGCACGACATGTCAACACTCTCCTTTCTAGACTTTGGGTTCCCTATTACCAGCTTACCTGTCCCCTCCTGGCTTCTAGTTCTTGCCCCTTGGCTGGTGTGCCCCTTTAGTGTCATTTCGTTTTATGGGGCTGTCTAATCTTTGACTGCAAGGTGAACCTCAGGAGTGACTTCATTACTGAGCTAAAAGGGTTTCTTGGGACCATACTGACGGGGTTTCTCCAGTCTCTGTCAGGCCAGTAAGTCTGGTCTGTTTTTTGTGAGTTAGAATTTTGTTCTACATAGTCACTCTTGCAAATACTCCTACTGTCATACTTCTTATTAGTTTCAACATCTACACATTTGATTCTTCCAAAACCTGGCTTCTTAGTTCCATAATCTGCTTTTCTCTGATGGTCTCTCCTTTGCCCTAACTCAGCCTTTCACCCCCATGTCCATACCCTAGAGTCTAGGGCCGAAATATGACCATTACTAAACTCTTTGGCTCTTGCTTTATCTCAGTTTCAGATATTTCACTCTGACTGACTACCACCTTCTGTGTGTTCAGCTCAGTATCTTTACTCAAGCAACACTTAGACCCCGCTGGGAACTTCCATCCGTTGATTAAGTGCTTGACTGCTAACTGAGAGATCAGCAGTTCAAATCCACCCTTCTGACTTCAAGTCCTGCACTCTTTCCTTGGCTTGTCCTAATCTTGCCACAAAAGTCTTTTTGCTGATTCTTGAACATGCCAGGCACACTCCCGCCTCAGGATCTTTGCACTGTGATTCCTTCTGCCTACAGTGTTCCTCTCTCAGATATCTGCACAGCTCGCTCCTTCACTTCCTTCCTATTTCACCCCAGAGAGGAAAAGCGGAATACTTCTTCTCGTTTAGCTAGTGCATCAAACATTAAACCCTGGTTTTGGAAAATAGGTTGTCCAGGCATGTTTTTGAGGACAATAATATTACAGAAAGACTGTAGACCTTGGAATGAAAAAGACATGGTTAAAAAAACAAATAAACCCAAACTGAATTTTTACTCACCTTCTCTGTTATTCACCAGTTGTCTAATCTTAGGCAATGTACTTAACTGTTCTGTACCTCGGTTTCCTTACGTGTAAAATGGGGATAATACCAGGGCTTTGAACCAGTTCGAACCAGTGCAGTCATGGCCAATGAAGCAGAACTGGAATAGACCCAAATTTTTTAAATTTGTGTGATCCAGAACCTTAACCGAAACAGGAAAAATTACAGCTCGAAGACCTGGAATGGGAGACTCTGAAAAGTCATGGTGAGTCCTTTCAGGAGCTTGTTGTGTGAGACTGAATTATTGCTAGGAATGAGGAGAAAAAAAGGCAGTCGGCCGCCATCTTTGAGTGGGGCACTGCTGTTTCTGACTCTGCGCAATATCTGGCGGGAAGAAATTGGTTGCTATGCAGTACGTACACTCTCCTTGTTTTCCAAGAGGGAGATTAAGTTTCTAGCAGAGCTTCAACCCGTAATTTTTCCCGTTCAGATTATAGTTCCAGTTCATCCAAATTTTAAAAATTTGGGCCTGTTCCGGTGTCACTTCCTTAGCCATGACTGAGCAGAGAAGAAACGGTTCAAAGCCCTGGATAATACCTATCTCATAAGGCTAATGTGAGGTCAGGTGAGAAATATATGTATAGAACTTAATTAGGAGCTTGTTGCATAGTAACCTTTATTGATGAGTTGAGGCAGGTTGCTTCTCCCAATGTCAGCCTGCCTTTTCTCATCTGCCCTGCTCTTTATGTGTGATTTGGAGGCAAAACTAAATTATATGGCTGGCCATAGTTTGCAAAGTTGTTAGAGACATGATTAGTGGACTCTTTGAGATTTATGTTATATTTCTACATGAAAACTAAGATAAGAAGTTAAATTAGAGGCTTCCAACAATGTAGGGGAAGGACAGAGGTAACAAAGCAAGTAAGCTTCCCCCTTTCCTTATAAGGGTAATTGGTTTCTGAGGCGGGGGTGGGGAGGGGGGGACCCTCAAAGGGCAGAATTTCAAAAGTTGAAACAATTAACATTTTTATGTGTTCCTGAGCCACCAAATCAATATCCTTTATGCCAAAACAAAACCAAGTGTTAATTCAATAGTTAACATTAATTATCATAGGGTGGCAAAACAAGCTGTTACTTGAGCCCTCTCAGCTCTTCCATAGATATTACGTAATTAAGGAGTAGTGCTTACAACATGTACACAAGATACTCCATGTTTAGGAAATTGAAGCTGCATGTAAAAGAAGAACAAGAAAAGTAAAACAGTGGGAGCAATGGAAATGATGATGAGAGTATTACTCTTGTATACTAGCAACCTCAGACCCTCTGAAATGAGATTATGCACCAGCCATAGATGATCTCACGATGTCTGTCGCTTTGTGGCATACAGGGGCTAAGGGGTGCAAAATCTAACCTTGTGTTCATAAAGAAGAAGAAATGCCATATAAAACCAAAGCAGTTGTATTTAATGAAATTCCTCATAAAGCCAAATCCTTACAACTCAAATCGACTTATCTTAAGGGTTGGTCCATATTGTACTCAATCTTATATTTTAGTCTCCTTAAGAATCACTTGGGTAGTTTGTAAAAAAGGAACAGACCGAGATTCTACCATTCAGAAAGCTGGTGATAACCTTGGAATATACATCTTTAATAAGCACTCCAGGTAATTCTGCCATAATACTTTGAAAAATGCTGCTACTATAAAATAAGATAATGACAGTATAAATATTTTAAGTACAAGCAACAGGTATTTGGTGTATGGTTCATTTGTTTAGTAATGGTGATTGCCAATTTCATGCAAATCCCTACCCTTTTCCATAATTCAAATACCTTTGCATCTGGCAAGACTACAGAGCAATGGATTAAATTGCATCGTTTTCTCTACTCTGCTTCCAATAACTTCATTCTTTGTAATAAATAATGATATCTCACATTTGGATAACACTTTAATATCTTCAAAGTTGTTTTCTATATATCATTTCATTTGAATCCCATCACAAATCAATAAGAAAGGAAAGGAAGATTTTATTATCCTTATTTTACAGATAAATTAGCTGTTGCCGGATGATCTGTCCAATGTTACACAGCTGGCAGAAAATGGAGAAAGAATTGCAGCCCAAATTATCTGACTCCAATGTTTAGGAAATTGAAACTGCATTACCCTCTTCTCAGTACTCAGTTGTCCATCTATCCATTCATTCATTCTTCTGATGTATGCTTAAAGTGGTTTGCGTACCAAATAGAAAACAAGTCATTCCTCTCAACTGCAAGAACCTCTTCATCCCCAGAGCCCCTTCCCCTCCCCATAAAGTCTAAAAAAAATATAGAAAAGATATTTCCTTATAATAATGCTTTTCCGTACTGTGAAAGAGGTTTTCTTATTTGTTTTTAAAGAACAATCAAGTATACTTTTTAGATGCCTACTGAGTTTATTTGCCTTTCTTTCAGGATTCTATTGATTTTTATTCCTGTAAATAATTCTTAACTCCTAGGTAATATCCTTTTGATTAAAAGGAGAATTTCTTAGGACTTCAGTAGTTCAGGGTTTTGAGGAAAAACAAGGTAGCAACTGGCGTAAAAGAAAAGGGAAGTCATCCAGGTTTCAAATACAGTATGACTTACCCCTTGGACCTCTGACGACTCATCTGCAAAGATGAGGATATATTATCTACTTTGCAGGGTTGTTAGCAAAATTAAAAATAACACATGTGGAATGTCTTGTACAGTTTCTAGCACTTTAGTTCTGAATGAAGTAAAAATGAGATTTCAATTAACTTATTACAAATCTTTCCCTTGGAGATTTTCTCCATCTATGAGAAAGAAAAATATTTTTCTGTATTTTTTGCTTTGGTTTGATTTTTGTGAGGAAACAGAAATGTGTAGATCATTTCTTTGTTCTTTTTCTGCCCCTTTAGCAAACTGGAGGAGCCCTAGTGGCACACTGGTTAAGAGCTCAGCTGCTGACCAGAAAGCTGGCAGTTTGAATCCACCAGCTGCTCCTTGGAAACCCTATGGGGCAGTTCTACTCTGTTCTATAGGGTCACTATGAGTCAGAATCAACTCGATGAGTTTTTTTTTTTTTTTTTTTTTTTTTTTTTTTACAAACTAGGTTGGGAAGAGAAT